CCTCTGCACACTTTCGCCTAATGGTCTTGCTGCCAGTCGCGCGAGTGGCCAGCTGACCAGATGGCCAGTCAATGAGGTGAGGAAGAAAGAGGAAGAAAGAGACGAAGAAAAGGAGAGCAAACCTGAGGTTTACCTGCTCGAGTGAGATGTGCTTGGTGTGCATTGTTTTTGTGAATATGTTTTTTTGGTTATTAAGACTTCAACCACCTTGATTCTTTAAAAAAACAACTTTTGCCAATATGCTCTATCGATAACACAAAAAAGTACCGCTCTTGTTTCTAAATCTTGGCTAGTATGACAAGGTTTTCATTGTCTTTGATTTCTTTTACAATGAATTGTCAGAAGTAGTTGCGGGTTTGAGATACGAGTTTTACTAGCAAAAAAACTAATAAGCAAAGTTAATTGGCAATGAATGAATGCGTTCATCTTCATCTTAATTTGCCGGACAAGAAAACCTGTTGGCGTTGACGGCCACTGCAGTGATGATGATGATGATGACAGTGATGCTTTCACTGCTTTTTCAGTCCACCAGCACATCTGCTTTTTGTGTGCTGGGCCCTACCACCAGACAAAGTGGTTCACCTTTTTCCTCCCCATCTTCTTTCTTTCCCTTTTTGGTCCTTCTTCTTCCCTTCCTTATCACCAGTCTTCCATTGCTTCCTGTGCTTCTTCTGAACTAACTATTGCTCTACTGTCCTCTCTGTCCACTGTGTTCACTGTCCTCATGACCCTTGGAGGGTGAGGGGGGAAGAATGGGATCAATGAAGCACTAGCACTGACAGCTCGCCACAGTGTAAATGTGTGCAGACGAAGCAGTCTCGTTTCTGGAAGCCACGCCACTTCAGCCAGTCAGTCAGTGCAAGTGACAGTGCGTTAGCCCTGCCAGCTGCTCTTGCCGTTCTCTCGATGCTGTTGACTAGTTCTGTCCCCCTCTCCAGCTTGCAATGGCAGTCAATGGCACTACTGGTCGGCACTGCTGCGCCAGCTTGCAAACACTGTGCCCTCTCTCTCCCTTTTTCCCTCTCTCCCTCATTTTTCCCTCTCGCCCTTCTTTCCTCACTCCAAACTCCAAACTCAGTGTCAGTCAGTGTGTGCTTGGCCACTGACCGAGCAGCAGCTACTACCACTACTACTTCTTCGTGTGTCTGCCCTCATCTGCCTGCATCACTTGCCTGCATCATTTCAGCCACTTTCTTTCTTTTTTCTTTATCCTCTCATTAGTGCTACCTTTTTCCCCAGTCTCTCCTTCCAATTGACAACCACTACTGACTGACCCCTGTGAAGAAGAGATTCTTAAAACGTTTTTTGTGTTTGATTTTTAAAAATGCCATAAGGGCACAAGTTGACAAGTTACTGTGCGCCCAGCTAAGAAGGGGCAAACTTTTTTATTTTAATTCAACTGACCATACACATTTGCGCTTTGCAACCTAGTGATCTCAGTAGCGCATCGCCGTTTACTTAATTAAATCTTAATCTCGTCATTATAGTGCCTTTTCTACCCTTCCATTTTCTCAATCATCTCATATCGCTCTATTGATTTATGCTTTCGATTGTTCATCTTTTTCCTGAAATTTCAGCTTGCACTTGCTCCTTTTGGCCAGGAAAAAGAAACCACAGTTTTGTTTATTAAGCACGCACTTCTTATTGCATTGCACCACTTGTCAAATTGCTTTTAATCGTCCACCACCGCCGTTTACAATCTCCAGCATCCATCGTCAGCCAAACGACCATCTTTCAGCCTTTCAATAAAGTGTTCTGTCCTCTCAAGACAACAGTGCCCACTTGTTGTCTCCAACTGGTTAGCTAGCTAGCTCTGTTTTTACTGAAAGCACACCCGATTTCTGGCTCCAATCTTATCAAGCAGCAACTTTACTGCTAACCGTGGGTCCATGTGCTGCGGTTGCTTACTCATGCTGTGAACGAATGATAAGCAAAGTTTCACACTTTCACTCTCAGCAACTACTGTGATTGGCAGCAGCAGTGAAAGTGAGGGCGCCGGTTGCTGCTGATACTGCCACTGCCACTCGGTAGTGCTTTAAATGGTTTTATGTTCATCTTCAGCTGCTTTCTTCTCTTCTTTTATTTCTTTCCGTTTCATTGCTCAACTCCTTCTATTTATTGTGAATTTGGCTCAACCAGTGGCCAGTGGTGCTCTGATTGAAGAAGACGACAGCAGCCGCCACTAATGGCATCATCTTATCGACCTATTGCCAGTTTATAGTTTTGTCATTTCGCCATTAAGTCTGTTCCTTAAGTGAGGGATACCGTCTCCAGTCACTGATCTGATTGCCGATCTACCAAAATGGGCAAAACAAAGCCGTCAAAAGCAGGTTTGTCCTGTCTTTTGTTCATTGCTTTTTGGACGGTTTCATTCCCGAACTACTCAGCGTCCTCCTACTACCCGTACTCGATCTCAAACCAAACGCGTAAGTATTTATGGTTAAACTTTGCCGTTGAAATTGTCGTGTTTTTTCAATTTTCAAAACAAATTTTAAACACTTTGGACTAGCCAAAAAAACTATCTTTTTTGTTATCTGTCTACTGTCGCAAATATAACTCTAAAAGCAAGTCAATAAATCTAGTTTTTTAGTAAAAGTGAATTTAGTGTTGACTTAACCTTGAACCCTTCCCCTTGACTGCAGATTATTTATTTTTAGAAAACAAAGTTTTGACACTGCTGAGTTGAAAGCGGTGAAAGAAGTGTGGGCTGTCTCATAATCTTAATTGGCTAACTCGATTATGCTGTCAGGGGTCAGAACTAAACAATCACAAACAGATTCACTTAGCAAAAGCTGCACAGATTGCCAGTTCAGTTTGACTGTCACACACTGTCAATCCACTGGCAACCCTTTCTTGCACTTTGACTTGCACTTTGCGTTCACCACCAAGTACAGAGACCACCAAGTGCGAAGTTGCCCTTTATTTGAGTAAGAAGTCACTCTCTCGTTTTTCCCTTTTGTTGCTGTAAGCTATTACTGTGCCTTGCCAGCCACAGATTGCATTTTTCCAGTCTCACTTCTTTTTCTTTTTCTTCTTCCTTGGTGAGGACACGTAATTTCTGCAGCAACAGTGTCGACTGTTCACCACTGCCTTTGGACTGTGGACATTAGCGTAGTAACCAGCGTCAGGCTTTAATTACAATTTGTTTTACCTCCCGGGCTCCTTCTGACTCTTTTTCTGTGTCTTCATTGCCACATGTTCAGAAGGCAAATGCACAGCCGCTACGCTGCATTCTGACAGGCCACAGAAGCCATTTCACAAACTCATAGAATGATCACCGGGTGACGCTCATTAGCCACGCAATGGCATTCCTTTTCTTTCAATCTGTGTCCATTCTCCCCTTTGGTGTCCATTGCAGATTAGGCCACTACTAGTGCTCCTTACTCACAGTGTCCCCAGTTGATGGACGACATTTTCATAATCAGCTAATCTGATTAAGATTATGCAAAATAACATTCAAAGTGTGCATTCAACTCACACTGGACACACTCTAAATCACTGGTTTTAAGCAACAGCATTTCATCTGCACTGATTAATATTTATTTAACTAAAAACATTCGCTGTTTTAAATTTAGCAAAATCCTAGCAAAATTATCATTAAACAAAAAATTTACCAAAGTAAAAGGGTGCAGACGATGTTTTTGCTTGACATTGAAAAAAGCTTCAGCTTATCTATTACCAGGCTTTTTACGACTTCTGATCATAAACGGCAAAATGTGCGCAAAACGTTTTATTGGCTTTATTGATCATTAGATTGAGCACTGCTTTTATGGCTGCAAAGCTGCGCTGTTCGTTTTTGTTTGTGTGCTCGAGGTGCTGGGTCAGGTTAGTCAGCTAGTCTGCTAGTACCACCAGAGAGAACAAAATGGTCAGTGATCTGGTTCCCACATGAGACGCGGTGTGATCACCACAAGGGCACTGCTGTTGCAGCAAAAGGGCCCTTGCTCAGACGGCTTTGTCGGCTGTCTGTCTGTCCGCCCATTGTCCTCTGCCGCGTCCCCATCGCTCTCTCTCTCTCTCTCTCTCTCTCTTTCATTGCCATTGTTGACCTAGGCACTGACTATGGTCTCTTTCCATTTCTCTCTCTCTCTCTCTCTCTCTCTCTCTCTCTCTCTCTCTCCTTCCTGCTATCCTTGTGCAAAGTTTTTTGCCCCTGCTCTCATTTTCACGTCTGTCCCTAGACCGGTGCTGCTGCTAATGCCGGCTGTTTCACCTTCCCTCGAATGATTAAAGCACTCAGTCTGCCTATTCATTCCCCCTCTTTCCTCGTGACACTGTTTGCCTGCTTACTCCCTCCCCTCCCCCTTTTCACTACCTTATCTCCTCTTCCTCCTTCTCTTCTTGTTAAAAGCACCTCCTGCACCTCAACTTCAACCGAAATTGCAGGCGCTCAGAGTTTGACCGTTGGATTAGCGCAAGGGCGCAGTGAAGCACATCAGAGGGGTTGCCGGCTGTTGACACTCTGTCAACTGCCAGCCTTCACTTTCCCCCAGCCTTTCACTTCTCCCTCTAATTATTAAAGGATCTAGTAGTAGTGGTAGTGAAGAAGCCGACATGCGCACTAGAGATTAGGGTTACTGCTCCTGGATCGACTGAGCTGGCACATTGCACTGAAACACAGTCACTGTTAGCACAGACGACACTGACAACGGGTCAGCAACAGTCAGGACAGAGCAGAACAGTAGGCAACAGTAGTTGTGAGCAACATCTCTTTTCAGTTTCGTCCGTTAGAATAGAGTGAGGCACTGGCAAAACTCGTTGGCAATGCGGAACACATTTCAGTGCGCCAACGGACAGTGCTACAAAAGTTCTCTTTTGGCTCTGATGAGCAGAACCAAAAAATTAATTTTTGATTGCCGGCCAATAGCAATACACCGACGCCGTTAACTCTGCAATGCTCAACAGAACTGAATATTTTTCTCTTTTGTTCTTTATTTTTTAAACTTCTCCTTTTTCACGACAATTTCTGCGTTCCTACTACCACCACCACCACTATGAATATGACCACGACACCTCTAACGTTGTTTGTCCTTCTTCTTGGATTGTTCTTCTTTCTCTGTACAGTAAGCAGCAGCAGTTCCTACCCGGTCAGTCTGCATGGCTACCGGCAGTGTAACCCAAATCTGTGCCACAACGGCGGCACTTGCGTCTACAACTCCTTCTCCAAACCCTTCTGTCGGTAAGTGAACGTGTGTCATAACTACTCATCTAATCCCCTTTGACTCTACAAAACCTCTGTTTTTCACCTTCTACCACTGCTAACCTCTTTTGAATCCTTGTTCTCTTTAGCTGCCCACCTCGCTACGCCGGCCACCTGTGCGAGCACACCAACCCCTGCTTTGCGGCTAATCGCTGCATGAACGGCGGCACCTGTCAGACCATCACCTCGCCCCACTCTCCGCCCACCTTCAAGTGCCTCTGTCCGCTGGGCTTCTCCGCCAGCCTCTGCGAGGTGGAGGAACCTAATGTCTGCCTGCAGACGCGACCCTGCGAAAATGGCGGCCGCTGTGTGCTGAAGGGCGACGTGGACAACTTTGAGTGCCAGTGCGCGCCCGGCTGGCGGGGCCCGCGTTGTGAGGAGGCAGACAACTGCGTCTCTCAGCCCTGTCGCAATGGCGCCATCTGCCACTCACACTCCAACGGAACAGCCACGTCTGCTTTTGGCTTTGTAGGCTACACCTGCGACTGTGCGCCCGGCTTCCGGGGACCGACCTGCGGCGAGGACATTGACGAGTGCGCCGAGCAAGGCTCCGCCAAGGCCTGCAACCAAAACGGCGTCTGCATCAACACGCCCGGCTCGTACCGGTGCAACTGCGAGCAGGACTACACCGGGCAGTTCTGCGAGACCCGCTACGTGCCCTGTCAGGTGAACCCCTGTCTCAGTGGCGGAGATTGCGTGCCCCACTACAGCACCTCGACGTACAAGTGCGTCTGTCCTACTGGCTTCACCGGGCACAACTGCGAGATCAACGTCGACGACTGCGGCGGCCACCTCTGTCAGAACGGCGGCAGCTGCGTCGACGGCGTCAACACCTACTCCTGCGCCTGTCCGGCCAACTTCAGCGGCCCCTACTGCTCGCAGGACGTCGACGAGTGCTCCCTCCGCCCCCATGTCTGCCAGAATGGCGCCACCTGCGCCAACACCAACGGCGGCTTCGCCTGCATCTGCGTCAACGGCTGGACCGGCCCCACCTGCGGCGAGAACATCGACGACTGCTCCAACCAGCCCTGCTTCAACGGCGCCACCTGCCACGACCGCGTCGGCTCCTTCTTCTGTCAGTGTCCGCCGGGGAAGACCGGGCTGCTGTGTCACCTGGAGGACGCCTGCGCCTCCAATCCCTGTCACGGTAAGTCACACAATTTTTTTCTGTTGTTCAATTCACACCACTTGATGAATTTATTGAGGTGAACTGCTGCTGTTCGCTAATAAAGTGAGGGGGCGCAAAAATTCCATTTTATTTTATTCTCTGCACCAGTTGCCTAGGCAATTAGTATTAGTAGTAGTTGTTGTAGTGAAAAATGCAAAACAGCAGTAGACGGAGAGCAATTTGAGTCGATTAATTCGATTACCACCACCGCCACTGCTACCGCCACTGTGTCGTCCGATTAATTACTTGGCAATTAGCAACAGGCGGGTCGGCTGGAAACTGCGTTTTCCCACTGTTCGCCAATTGAGCAGACAACATTGCTAGTACAGTGACTAGATTTAGAAAAAAGAAGCAAGTGAGAAAAAGGTTGTGTGTCTCAGATTGCTGGCTGAATGCTGGCACTCTCTGCGGACCAATCGATCAATCAGTGGTTGATTGATCGGGAGCAGTGCTCTTTCAAGTGCTGCTGTTGTTTCTTCTTCTTTTTCTTTAAGTCACTACGGCTTTTCTTTCTTTCTTCTTTTTTTCATTTCACTCACTTGCTTACTTAATCGATCTGAATCGAGTGATTTGAGCACGGTGCTATGCTGTGCGTGGTAATTACTGCCGTTTTAGCTGGCAATAATTTGCCTCTGGAGATTGCTGACAAATTTCAAGTGCACTCAAAACGGCGGTAGTTCACCTGAATTCACAGTTTAGCTTCCAGATTTTACTTAATTCTAAATAAAGCAAGAACTAAAACTATTTAAAATTGTTTTAAAATAAAAGTTGAGTGCTTTTGAATGCTTTTTAAACTCTAAAATCTAGTTTTGCTATTTTTAGAGCACACTCACACACACACACCTGCCTAACTAGTGTTGGCTAATTAACGATATTTGTGTGGCAATTAGCGACAATAGTGAAATGCATGATTTGCATTCAGCCAGCACTCACACTTACATATTTTGGCTGATGGTGGTAAGTGCTGGACCAAAAAAGTGTTGACCAATAAGAGCAGTAATAGTTCTAGTGCATACTTCTGCTTCATTTGCTCCCCCTCTCCTCAGTGCACCGTCGTCCCCTCTCCTTCTCCTTTCCTTTCCTTCTTCTTTCCTTCCCTTCTGTCATGCATACTTAATAAGCGCACTAATTGCGCACTAATCTGTCGCCGTCTACGCTGGTTATGGCCGACTGAGGCGGCAGAAGCCACAAACACTGCCGCAAGCTCGGCGCAATTCAATCGACTCATCAAGTCATTTTATGCAGAGAGGATGACTCCTTTCCCACGAATGTTGACTGACTCACTAACTGAATGTTGCTCTGCTCTGATCTCAACCTCTGACGACCTTCAGAGCTGTTTGTGTTAAATCTTTTTTTCTTTTTAGAAGCAAATTAATTAGTCTAAACCAAAAAAAGGAAAAGGCAGATAAGGGCAGAGACAAAGTGTGTGTGTGTGTGTGTGCTAACCTACACTGCACTGTCAACTAGAGCTCCTTATAGCTAATTTGATTGGCAGTGGCAAATGTGTCCGTAGGGTACAGTGAGTGATGCGGCGATTTCTTTCCTTTTCATAGACAGATGGGCCAAACAGTGGTTTGGGTCACATCGTCNTCAACTAGAACTCCTTATAGCTAATTTGATTGGCAGTGGCAAATGTGTCCGTAGGGTACAGTGAGTGATGCGGCGATCTGTTTTCCTTTTCATAGACAGATGGGCCAAACAGTGGTTTGGGTCACATCGTCATCATCATCGTCGTCGTCAACAACAGTCATAATAATGTCAGTCAGCTTCAGTGGACTACTGAACCACTGTTGTGGCAGTTGGCCGGATTCTCAGCACCGAGGCAGTGAGTTCTTTAGGCTAAGTTCTGCTTAGCAAAGCAATTGATTTATTATTGATAGTGGCGCACTTGCCTGACAGATTTACCCATTACCAAGCGCCCTTCTCCACTGCGCAATTAATACTTTTATTACTTATTTCCCGGAGCCAATTCCACGTTGTTGCACTAGCAGTCAAAAAGCCTGGTTTAAAAGAGAATGAGAATGAACCCAGGCCCAATAAAAGAATTGAATAGGCCAATTGCCTCAAGCGACTACTACTTTCGCGTCAGATGCGATGGCAATTCATTTGATTAAAAATGTATTACTCTGCCCTAGCTAGGGTAGCGCTGTGTTGTGTTGTCACATTGTGCGATCAGGGCACTTCATTAGACAGTTCCGAGTGGGCCCATTGTGTTGGTTGCCCATGCTCGTGGTTATTAATATTACAGAGGCTAATAATACTGCCTGACTGCCTGCCTTTTGAAGGCTGGCAGCGATCACAGCCCAAGTTGACTGTGTGTACCCAGTTTGCCCACCGACACACACACAATGCACGGCGCACTGGGCCACTAATGAGCTCTGTGTGCACGTGCAGTCCTGCTGACTGTTCCAATTGGATCAGACTGCGCACTGGGCCACTGGGCTGTCAAGTGCTGCTGATGTTCGTCGTCAACGAGGGCAATTTGTCTGCTGCCGGCACTGAAAATACACACACACACACACACACACACACACACTACAGCTGCATACCAAATGTTGCCAATTTTGGACTCAAACTTTTCCTCTTCAGCCTGTGCCTACCCTGCCATTTGATCTGATTTGCAGCAACTGTACTTTTTCAACTGTGTGCATGATACTATTAATAGTTTTTTTGTTTGATAATACATCTGATCTCAAGTGTAAATAAAAATGGTTTCAACTTTTTTGCCAGTAAAACCCCTCTTGATCAGGACACCTGATACGATTGTGATCCGAAACACCAAACTCTAACCAATTATTTTTTCATTACCACTTTTAGCCGGCTCCATCTGTGACACCTCTCCGCTGGACGGCACCTACGTGTGCTCCTGCCCCACCGGGTACAAGGGCACCGACTGTACGCTGGACATTGACGAGTGCCAGGACTCGGGGTCGCCCTGCGAGCATGGCGGCACTTGCGTCAACACGCCCGGCTCCTTCAAGTGCGACTGTGCGCTGGGCTTTGCCGGCACCCGCTGTGAGATTAACATCAACGAGTGCGACTCCAATCCCTGCCAGAATGAGGGCACCTGCCTGGATGAACGTGGCTCCTATCGATGCGTCTGCATGCCTGGTAAGTAGCAGTACTTTTTTTAACTTTTTTGCTTGTTTAAATAATCGTGTGCTGTTTACTGGCACTCCACATTACTACTCTAGAACACCGCAGAAAATACTCTACTGCCAATCGATATCAGTCAATCAGTCAATCAACTTGCCAGTCAGTCAGTTTGCTCACTCCGGAATAGTAGTAGTGGTAATAGTAAAAGTAGTTATTAGCTAATAAGATCGGAAATGCGATGTTGTGCAGCATATTGTGCAGAAGATGAAGATCCTTAAAGTCACTGCTGCTTGCGCGCACACATTTCCGGACTCGGCTAATATATTTTATTTTTACTATTGCCAGTGTTTTCTAAGTTTAAAACAGGCACGCATATATCCGTTTAATAACAACTTATAAATTAGCACTTTTTATATTTTACATATTGTTTTAGTCAGTGCCGGTGCTGGCAACAATCATTCTCCTCCCCCATTTCTTGAATAGTAGCTTCTTTCATTCTTTCCTTTAAATCAATTGGCTTAGTAGAGCTGGTGTTCGGTGTGTGTGTGGTTGACAATAAACAGCCTGTTGATATGCGCAAATTACCAGTGCGTTGCCGCCAATTTGATAAATCATATTTGCATCATTGCACCTCTCTCTCTCTTTCTCTCTCCTTCAAACCCTTCTTTGAGTTCATATGAAAAGGGCAATGTGAAAACCGAGTAGAGCACATCATCTGACAGCCCATTTCGCACAGTGGCGGCAATTAGTCATGGCACACACAGTTTGTGCGCCCTGTCACAGTGCTTGCTCACTCTGAACGAATTGCAAAGTCAGCCACAGTGATGCCCGGTGGTGGTGGTGGTTTCCAACTTTGCCATCAATCAGTGACCACCAGGCAGGTTCAGGTGCTTTACTGTTCTTTTTCTGTACATCGTTTGCCTTTTTCTTCTAAACAAATACCTAAGCTCAGCTGCATCTTTTCTCAAACCTTGCTTGAATGACAGTGATTACATTTGTATTTCATTTGTCAGTTTTTGTTTTTGAAAAAATCTGGCTCTTGTTTCCTAGTTTTATTGTCATTAGTTGTGTTTTTTGTTTGCATTGATGGATTTTCATTCCTCTAAAATATTGTCATTTGTTGTCAACTTTGTGGCATCTATTTATAGACCTCAGTTCTCTTTTCGTCGTATTCTTGATGAGCATAAACTTTACTTTGGCTTTACTAATCTGGCAACGTCGTTTTAGCTATATGGCGCTAATTTTCCCATGACACAGAAAAATGTCGTGGTCTGCGGTTTTGAAGTTTCACTTTTTTACAGTTTAGCATTACAACTTTTCAGACAGAACCTTCTTTAATGCTTGTTTTTGTCTGTCACTGAGCATAGTGCGTGTTTGCCACCGCCTTTGCTTGCACACACACACACACACACACACATTGATTGCCGCATCCTTGAAATTCCTCTTTTCACTGTGCTCATCACAGCTTGCGTCTGGTAGATTGAACACAAACAGAAAAACTACTTGCCGGGTAGGTTAGGAGCACTTCTCTTGCAACTAGTTTTGACCAGCCTTCACCATTGACTGCCTTCATCTTCATAGTCATTGGTCGACCTTTATCCACTGAATGCGACTACCTGCCTGAATGAACAGACAGTGATGTGGTTAAAAGAGTCGTGATTCTTTCAGTGTTTGAAGTGATGTTTTTAAAAAACTGAAAAAAGTATTTGCATTTTTAGCTATTTGTTCATTTTTGTTCATTTTTCCGAGTATTTTTCATTGATATTGTGCTCATAATTGCATTTACTTTTAGTTTAACAAGCCAAAATACATAAATCGAAAAATACTAGATGTTATATTCTGCTTTTTTCTTTGCCGTGTTCAACTAGTTTAAACTTATCTGGCTATAAAGTTAATGAGAAACACCGGAACAGGTGATTTGCTACAGTCAGACAAACAGACAGTCGTCAGTTAGCCAGACAGAAAAACAGACATACAGAGAAAAACGCATGTTTAGCAGTGCAATAGAAAGAAGTCGACATGAGTCCGTGGCAAATGGTAAAATATTGCTATTGTCTGACGATGAAGAGTGCAGATCGTTTCTTAAGAAAAAAGGATGAAATGAATAAGGTAATTGATAGTACGCTTTTTGTTTTAACTAGAAAGGCACGGTTAGTGTTTAATATAGCTCAGCTCGATGGTCGACCTGAGTTAATGATCTTGGTGTATTGCTAGTAAAGATAAAGAAACTTAAAATGTGTGTTTTAAATTTGTGCATTTTATCATTTTTGTTTCNAAATGGTAAAATATTGCTATTGTCTGACGGTGAAAAGTGCAGATCGTTTCTTAAGAAAAAAGGATGAAATGGATGAGGTAAATGATGGTACGCTTTTTTTAACTAGAAAAGCACTGTTAGTGTCTAGTATAGCTCAGCTCGATGGTCGACCTGAGTTAATGATCTTGGTGTATTGCTAGTAAAGACAAGGAAACTTAAAATGTGTGTTTTAAATTTGTGCATTTTATCATTTTTGTTTCTGTCAAACTACTTACTAAACTCAACTTTACAAGTCTTAAACAATAATTTTAATTAAACAACAGTTTTAAAGCTGCATTTTTGCCTGAAAAAAGCAGCTTTGCTACTAGGAGGGTGTTAAGTTGACAGTGCCTTCATTTCATTGCTTCATCTCAATTCAGATCACTTTTGTCGTTAAGTCGTCGAAGACCACTGCAAATCGGTTCAGCATTTGGTCTCTCTCTCTCTCTCTCTCTCTCTCTTTCTCTCTCTTTATTTCTCGTTCGGACCCTCACTTTGCTCCCCCTCATAGCGGCAGATGTTTGGTGTGCGTGTATGCACTGCAAGTCTTGCCAGGCAGTTGTGTGTTGTGCAGGAGGGCAATAGCACTAAACAGTGAGCTCTTTGCCATTGCCCCCGGCTGCACGTATCTGCTTTCTTTTTTAACGACGACGACGACGACGACTACGGCAGGCGAACACGCACACACACACACACTGCCACAAACTTGGCCTAGTCTAGTCTGATCGGCAATAATACACACAACCCCCCACACAGGACCCACTCTAATTTTAGGTTATCAATGCTGCAAAGTCAGTGTCATTTACTGCCACCACTTACTAGTGGACACTGCTGCTGCCCAACAAGTCCTCAATCGGAGTTGTTCTTAGTGGCCAGTGTGCAGCCAGTGTCCATAGTGAGAGGGGGCCAGTGGTCTGTTCCTTCTCTCTCTCTCTTTCTCTTTCTTTTGCCAATGTTCCCATCACTGGCAATACGATCTACGGCGATCTGGACACAGTGAATGCACAGTCAAATTCCACCGTCATTGCAAACGTTGCAGACGCTGCAGAGGCTGCTGCTGCTGCTGAAACTTCCTTTCAAAGGCAAATGTCCTTTCTCTGCTAGCACACACACACACACACACACTGCCTTGCGGCAGTAGAAGATGACGGTGAGAACGACGACGACGACGACAAAGAGAGGCGAGACAAGAAGAAGGAGAGCAAAGAGAGTCCAAGTTGAAAAGTAGAACTGCTGCGGCGGCTGTTGCTGCTGCTGCTGATAGTACGCAGCCAATCGCTCTGCTGCAGCACTCACTCTCAGTATGTCCGCCAGTCGCCTTTGACCTTTGGCTGGCCTCTGGCCTGCTGCACCTTGGCCGCCTAGCTTTCCTTCTCCTCTTTCTCTCTGGCAGCTTTCACAGCTTTCTTTGGCAGACAGCTGAACAGCAAGTAAAAAAATTGGTTCAGGGTGAATTGTGTCAATGAGAAAGGAAAAAATGAAAAAAGTAGAAAGAAAAAGAAAGCAAAAAGAGGACTGAGTGTTTCCAAACGGACAGAGGGACGATAAATAAAGTTGACATTTTTCCCTCAATGAAATTTCATCCAGTAGTTTTGATTGAGCCGGCAAACATTTTAAACACTTTTTATTTGAGGTTTTAGGTACAAACTAAAAAATGTTTGTTTGCACTGCTTGAGTTTTCTCTCAAATAGTATCTGCTCACTGTTTTACTGAAATTCAAACTAACTTGCATTTTCACTGTCAGTATTTCAATTAAGCAACCCACTCATCTTCTAATTTATTTGTTTTTGTTAGCTTTACACTTTTGAATGACTTTGTAGTAGCTCACTTCTACAATTATTGTCTATTAGCTTCTTTAGTATGTGTCTATTTTCCTATTCTTCCATCTATCATCGTTTGTTGTTGTTTCTGTCCAGTGAAGGTTGTCCGTGTACTTTTTCTAGCTCAAACGTGTGCACTGGTTATAATTCCTTGCACCTTCATTTTCTTTTCTTTTTTCTGACTGGCATCGTGTCAAGTTAATGATAGCACACATTTCACTGTGTTGCTGCTACCCTTACCTAGTCAAATCAGCGTCGCATCCCATATTATAAGCTAGTTATTGTCTTGCAGACGGTTCTCCTTCTCCCTCTTGTTCTTTGTGCACCTCACTGTTCCTCACTACTACCTTTCCTGCAATTAAGACAAACTTTCTTCTTTCTTCATCATCATCTCCATCTTTACTTTTCAATCTACCTTTTTTGCTACCTTTGCTAGCTTGCGCGTTTGTTCTCACGAGTAGATAGCTGGCTAGATGTTGCATCCAGTGGCCGCCAAATGCGAAGCTCCCGCTGAGTTTGCACTCTCTCCTTTTCTCTTTTTTTCTCTGTCTGTTTTCTTCTTCTTGTCTACTTGTGCAGGTAAATTAGTAGCCACAGTCTGGAAGAAGGAGACAAAGCAATCAGAGCAAGAAAGAAGTGCTATAAGAAGTCGTTGCGACAAGGTAGTATTGTAGTGTTCCCTTGATTATGTGTGTTCGAGTTTGTGTGTGTGTAAGTGTGTTTGTTGTTAAGGTATCAATGAGCATGAACATCAGGCGATGCGCAGCAGCACCAGCACCAGCACAATAGAGCGAGAATTGTTCTAGCCTGAACACTGTAATGCAAACCAGATATTACTGCTTCTTTTTTATTAAAAAAGGGAGGGTTAGAGAATTTACTGCAGTATATTGCAGACAACTAAA